TTAACGCCATTGGTGTTGAGATTGGTTTGCACGTTGCCATGTGAAATCTTTTTCAGCATATCTTCGGTGTACTTCTCCTGTGAAATAAATATTTCTCCAGGCGACTGCTTCACTTGGATCCCAAGAAAATACTTCATGAGTCCCAAGTCCGTCATCTCGAATTCTTTCATCATGGTACTTTTGAATTCTTCGATCATATGCTGATTTGTACCTGTGTAAATCAAGTCATCAACATACAAACACACCATTAGAAAATCTTTTCCTTCTCCCTTTTTTATGTAGAGAGATGCTTCACTCGGACTTCTTTGAAATCCGTTCTGTTGAAAATATCGATCAATTCTGCTGTTCCAGGCTCTCGGTGCTTGCTTCAGCCCGTATAAAGCCTTTCAGAGACGATAAACTTTGTCTTCTTCTCCTTTTTTCTCATAGCCTCGTGGTTGTTCCACATAGACTTCTTCTTCCAGTTCTCCATTCAGAAATGCTGATTTTACATCCAGCTGGTATACTGGTAACTCCAGTTGAGCAACTAGAGCGAGAACTGTTCTAATGGTCTCCATTCTCACTACTGGTGCATATGTCTCGTGAAAATCAATACCGGGCTGCTGTGAATAGCCATTTACCACCAGTCGAGCTTTGTACTTCCGGATAGTACCATCTTCATTGAGTTTTATCTTATAGATCCATTTGAGACCTATAACCGGCTTGTCCTCCGGTTGATCAACAAGCTCCCATGTCTTGTTTTTCTCAAACATGGAAATTTCTGCATCCATCGCCTCATTCCAAACTTCATCTTTGGCTGCTTCTTCAAAGACTTGAGCCTCATAAGTAAAATATGCAACATGACTTGTTTCATAAATTTCTCGCAAAGACCTTGTTCTCAACGGAGGTGAATCCGAGTCTGTTACAACGTCTCTGAAGTTGTCTCCTTCTGGGCTAGGTGCAGAATTTTTTTCTGGACTAGCAACTGGATCTGGGCTGTTGTTGGGGTCTTCTAGAGTTGCTGAGTCCTTCAGAATTTCATAACTTGGTGGAGATTGAGAAATTGGATTTTCCCAATTCCGCTTCGCCATCTCATCAAAGATCACATCTCGGGAAACCACCACTTCGTTCTTTACTGGGTTGTAAAGACGATAGCCTTTGGACTCATCACTATAGCCGGTGAAGATCAGCTTTTCTCCCTTCTGGTCAAACTTGTCTCGGTTTGGGGTAGAGATATGTGCATAATCTATGCACCCAAAGACTTTGAGGTGATCCACTTGTGGCCTCCAGTGGTGCCACGCATGTATCGGTGTCTTGTTCTGAACTACTTTGGTTGGTGATCTGCTGAGGATGTAAATTGTCGTGTTGACAGCTTCTGCACGCAAATTGTTGGGAAGCTTTTTGGCTTTGAGCATACTTCTCGCCATCTCCACATTCGTGCGGTTTTTCCGTTCTGCCACGCCATTTTGTTGTGGTGTGTAACGGACCGTCAGCTTCCTTTTGATTTCGTTTTTGCGGCAATACTCCATGAACGGAGTATAAATAAATTCTCCTCCACAATCTTTACGGAGAGTTTTGATTTGATGGTCGCTTTCCTTCTCAGTTGCTGCTTGGAATTGAAGGAACTTGGGAAAAGCTTCTGAATTTTGCTCCAGAAAGAATACCCACATCATTCTGGTGAAGTCATATACAAATTGTAGAAAATATCTTTTGCCGCTGAGCGATTGTGTTCGGGTTGGACCGCATATGTCTTCATTTACCAACTCTAGTGGCGCTTTTGCTCTCTACGATGTCTTTGGAAATGGTAAACGATGCATTTTGCCATAAATGCATCCTTCACAGATCTTGTCTTCTTTGTTGATCAGGGGAAGTCCCACCACCATATTTTTCTTCCTTCGCAATTTGAGGCCATTGAAGTTGAGATGACCGTATCTGAGATGCCATAGGAAGGATTGATCCAGAATTTCACTCTTGAATGCTACTTCGCCGTTTTGTGACATAGCAAGAGATAAAATTCTATTGGAAGTCATCAGGACTTTGGCCACCATGAAATTGTCAGCTTTGTTGATAATATCGCACACGCCATTATTAGGGATGGCAATGGGTCGGGTCGGGGGCGGATAGTGCATATCCGTTACCCTACCCAAAGTAGGTCGGGTTTTACCCATACCCATACCCACATGTGAAACGGGTAGAAAATCAAAACCATGTCCATACCCGTTCGGGTTTCGGGTATCCACGGTTATCCATGGGTAATCATTTCTCTTCATAACTTCAACCAATATGTTAACATTCACACGAATTCTCACATTACGTAAGAGGAAAAGTACGACAATAATTCACTAGAATGGAAAAAATTAATTAAAACAACACAATTTCATGAAAATATTATACTTATATGCTAAATATAAAATATGTTAGAGAAAAATAATGATTATATCTAGAGAAAAATACATATGCATTTGTATAATCGGGCGGGTTCGGGTTGGATAGTGAGAAATCCATGCCCCACAATATTCGGGTTCGGGTTTTACCCATACCCACTAAATGTCTTTCGGGTTCGGGTTTTACCCTACCCGATTAGACCGGATTCGGGTGGATATCCATGGTTACGGATATTTTTGCCATCCCTAGGATCCATGTAGTTGTAGGGGAATTGATGAAGCCTGTGAAATCAGAAGGCTTAGTGGTGAGAAGTGACAAGGAAGAAGAATTAAAGAGGAATAAGAAGGCGGAAGGAAGAAGACGGACCGTAGAGATTACGATGGTGGTGGTGAGAGGGGGATGAATGGAGCAGGAGTTTTAGAGATGATGGTCAATTAGATTATTTTATTTAATTTATTTTATTTTTTGTAATAAATAATATTTTCAATTTTTAAGTTGACATGTGGCATGACACGTTGACTAAGAGTTGACGTGAAAGTGACGAGGTGTCATCCCAGCTTGTTGTTGACGGACGTCAATGACATCTCTAACTCCGTCAATAATTTTAACGGAAATGACTATAATTGTCAATGTAGTTTCAAATTTGTGGCTATTTCTATGTATTTTTCAAAATTTGGCTATATTTATCACAAAGTGCAAAGTTATGGCTATGGATGTCAAAGTCTTGATCAATCAAAGAAAAGCATAAATCACGACACAAGATTTACGTGGTTTCCTCAACGATGATGATCGATGAGACTAGTCCACGACACAAGGCAGAGTTCTTAATTATTATTCCGTACACGTTGCATTAGAAACTCGGTCATACAACCTTTATATACTAGGTCGAGTATTAACCCTAAATTAGGTTAATTACAATTAGGTACTCCTAACTTGTAACACCCTCCGTCAAATTGATGGTGCTGACACAACATCAATTTGTGTGCTAGAAACCAATGATGTGACGAAGACACTGCTTTAGTCAACAAATCTGTTGTTTGATCCTCTGACGTAATATATGATAACTCCACAGAGCCCTTCGTTACCAGCTGGAGAATATAGTGAACGTGAACCTCTATGTGCTTGGTCCTATCTTGTAAGACCGGATTCGTAGCAATACGAATATCACTGGTGTTGTCAACAAACAACCGAACAGGAGTAGTAATCTTAACTCCCAACTCGGCTAACAATCGACATAACCAGGTGATCTTAGATGCAACCTCGCTAATGGAACGGTATTCTACCTCTGTGGATGACTTTGACTCACAATCTTGCTTCTAACACTTCCATGAAATGAAAGAGTGACCACCTTTGACACACCACCCGGAAGTCGAACGTCGTGTATCATGACAACCAGCATAGTCTGCATCAGCATAAGCATCCATCACAGCTTCTTCACCTGCAGGAAACATCAAGCCGGCTCCTGACTGCCGTTGAGATAGCAGAGAATACGTTGGATTACAGTCCTGTGAGTAGTCCGCGATGCAGACATAAACTGACTCACAACCTGTACAACATATGATGTATCCGGGCGTGTGTGACTCAAGTAGATCAAGCTGCCTACTATACTGCGATATAGCGAGCCATTAGACAATAAATCACCATCCCCCTGTCGAAGCTTGAGATTATGTTCCATGGGAGTAGCGCAAGGAGCGCACTCATCCATCTGTGCCTCTTCGAGTAAATCAACTACATACTTCCGCTGACCTACGTGAATACCAGTCGGAGAACAATGAATCTCAAGTCCAAGAAAATAAGAAATATCACCTAATTCCTTCAAATTAAACGCAGATCTCAGAGTCTGAGTTATATCCTGAATGCCCTCTACATCATCTCCACTAATCACCATATCGTCAATATAGATCAAGAGAACTGTGAGGACACGAGGAGAAGAAAGTAGGAAGAGGGATGGGTCACTATCATTCTGCACAAAACCAGCCTGAATAACAGTAGCATGAAACTTCTCGAACCACCCCCGTGGAGCCTGTTTCAGTCCATATAAGGATCGATGAAGCTTACACACCATAGAACTATCTCCCTTTGTATACCCAGGAGGAAACTCCATGTATATAACCTCCTTGAGATCACCATGAAGAGATGCGTTTTTCACATCCAACTGAATCAATGACCAATTCTTCATAGCCGAGACAGCTAAGAGACTCTTAACCGTCTGCATTTTGGCAACCGGCGCATAGGTCTCAACATAGTCAATGCCATACTCCTATCGAAATCCTTGCGCCACTAACTGAGCTTTAAAATGTTCCACCGTTCCATCGGGATTCTTTTTAATAGTAAACACCCACCGACATCCAATAACAGAGAACTCAAGAGAGCGCGGAACCAAATCCCATGTATGTGCGGCTTCGAGTGCTTCCGTTTCAACATTCATGCCATTATCCCATTCAACATGCCCTTTGGCTTGCTTATAAGTTGATGGAACAAAGACAACCGGGTTGGAAAATGTAATAAAATCAGAGTGCCGAAGAGGAGGCTGATCTCGAGTTGCTCGAGTGGAGCGCCGCAGCTGGGGAACTCAGCTTTCACATTTTGAAGGGAGGCATGAGAGGAAGTGGAGTCTTCATTGCTACTCATGTGAGATGAGCTGCTGCTTGGGCGAGATGAAGAGGAACCACTTGTATATGGAGATCAAGGCGAGGATAGAGATGAGTCACCAGAGGAGGTGTGACCGGAGGTGGAGGAGCTCGAGGAATACGTGCCAGTCGAGGAAGAGGCAGAAGATGGATCTTCGTGTGGTGGACCATCAATGGGAGTCGGAATGGACAACTCGAGAAGCTTCAAAAAATCCAAATCTGGTGGTGTGGAAGGCTCTGAAATAGAAGCTCCAAAAAACAACAAGTGTTCAAGAAAAACTACATGATAGGATACCCGAATTCGGCGGGCATTAACATCATAACACACATAACCTTTCTGTGTATCTGAATAGCCCAGGAAAACACACTTAATAGATTTAGGAGTGATCTTATTCCTCTCCCGCCGAGTAAGTAGAACATAACACACACACCCAAAAACCCGCAACCAACCATAATCCGGGAGACAAGAGTATAAAGCTTGATACAGACTTTGCTGCTGCAAAATCGTTGTAATCTGTCGATTAATCAAGTAAACCGAAGTGTGAATGGCCTTAACCCAAAAATTTGACGGAACCAGTGAGTGAAACAGAAGAGCTCGAGTCAGCTCAAGTACATGCCGATTCTTCCTCTCCACCAAACCGTTCTGCTGTGATGTACCAGTGCAGGCATGTTGAGAAACACTACCTCTCTCACACAGGAGATTCTGCAAGGGATTGGAAGTGTACTCCCCTCCAAGATTAGATAGAAGTATCTTAACTGTCCGATTAAACTGAGTGGAAACCATAGCTAGAATATCCTGTGCAACAGATAACAACTCGGCTTCCTGCCGCAGAAAGAACACCCAAGTAAAACGTGTGGCATGATCCACAAAGAGAACAAAATATCGATACCCAAAGCGAGAGATCACAGGTGATGGACCTCACAAATCCGTGTGCACAAGATCAAATGGTTCAGAATAAACAGTAGAGCTGAAAGTAAAAGAATTCTGCGTCATTTTAGCTTGCAAACAATGAACGCATTCATGAATTTGATCACTCAAAATAGTAACAGATAACCATTTATTCTAAAACATAGTACGAAGTCGCACAGAGTTGGGATGACCCAAACGAAAATGTCATAAATCCGAGTCAGATAATTTCACCAAAGAAACTAAATTTTCTCTAGAAAACACACTATCCTCATTAGCCCCTTACTGCCCGGAGATCCAACCGCCCAGCATGCTGCCGCACCTCTGGTAGCCCGAATCGAGAATAGGAGTCCAACAGAAATGTCCAGGCCTTCTTAGTGCCTCTCCTGATCTCCTGACCCGTCCTCGTATCCTGCACAACACACCCAGTATGATCAAATGTATCCGACAACCATCCTCAGCTAGCTGACCCACAAAGACAAATTTGTACACGAGCTTAGGAACATAGAGAGTATCCGAGAGAGAGATCGAAGGCCGAACTATGTGACCCACATCCTCGCCAGACATAAGTGACCCATTTCAGCTTGTAAATCAAGACGGGGAACAGAGGAATCAAGAGTACGAAATGATTGACAAGTACCGGTCATATGATTATATGCAACCGAGCCAATATTCCAAGGAGTAGTCGAAGAAACTGTACCAGACGCAAAAGCAGAAGTGAGTGCTGTGGTAAAGCTTCCTTCAATGCTTCTTGCACAAGACGCCGGACATCACCCGATGTCAGAGAAGTAGCAGACGAAGTAGCAGGCTTGGCCACAGTCACAATTGTTGCATATGCGGTCCCAGAATGAGAACTACCCCGCACTACCCCTCCTCCGCGACCACGACCACGACAAGCAAGCGTAGGACAATCAGCAATGATGTGACCCTCCTACTTACAATAGTTGCACATGTTACGTTTCTTGGGGCACTCAGCCATCACGTGTCCATCCTGCTTGCAGTAATTGCATACATTTCGCTTCTTACAGTGATACTGTATATGACCCGTTTCCTTACAATGATGACATATGATCTCCCCCTTCGCAGTATGCTAAAACTGAGGTTTTCCTCCATGAACAGCAAAAGCAGTGGACGAATCACTAGCATGAATATTTAGCTTGGCCTGACTACGGAGACGAGTCTCCTCTTGAAGAAGCTCACCAAGAATCTCCTCCATAGACTCAACATTGAGATGAAGCAGGGAAACACGTATCCCTTCAAACCCAGGGCGTAAATTCATCATAAAGCGCATAACACGAGTGTTGGTGCGCTCATGAATGACATCCGTGGACACCACACTGGACAAGAGAGAGCTAGTCAAGTGATCATGTCCATTGCAGAGAGTAACAACATTTTGATAGTACGTGCTAATATCAGAATCGCCTTGAGTCAAACAGCCTTCAATGTAAAACTTCCGGGAAGCACTAAGCTTAGAATAGAGGTTGTGAAGATGCTACCATATTTCCACAACTGTATTAAAACCTCGCAGACTGACAGCAATATTCGGATCCATAGAGCCGAGCAAGCAAGACATAACCACAACATTGGAAACAACCCAATCTTCCCGATCTTTGTATGTCGCATCAACATCCGGCTCTTTTGCTGAGCCATTGAGAAAAGACAAGAGTCTGCGACCTTGTACATGAAACTTAAATTAAAAGGCCCAGAGAGCGAAGTTCTTACCAGTGAAGCGAATCGAGAAGATATCACCATTGCTGTTGTCCATAATGAAGCATAACAAAGACCCCTAACAGCACAAGAAGGAAATACAAACTGCAGACCAAGAAGATAGCTGGCGGGCGGCGGCGCATCACACAAAAAAAGCCAGCTCCACAGCAATATAAACGCAAGCAAAAAAGACCTCTAGAAGCCGAAGAAATCCTAGCTCCGCAGCAAGATAAACACAGTCCACAAAAAGCAATAATACCCAAACAACCAGAACCAAAACCAAGACAGCAAGGCACACGAGAGAGAAGCAGGCTGATGGCTCTGATCACCCAGAACGATACCCAACCGGAAGCCAGAAACGAAACTTGAAAAGCAAGGGCTAGAGCATGACCTGAAGCCTACGCAGGAGACCCAATCACGAAGAAAACTCAGAGATAAATAGCGCGAGGCTCTGATACCATGTCAAAGTCTTAATCAATCAAAGAAAAGCATAAATCACGACACAAGATTTACGTGCTTTCCTCAACGATGATGATCGTTGAGACTAGTCCACGACACAAGGCAGAGTTCTTGATTATTATTCCGTACACGTTACATCAGAAACTCGACCATACAACCTTTATATACTAGGCAGAGTATTAACCCTAAATTAGGTTAATTACAGTTAGGTACTCCTAACTTCTAACAATGGAAGTGTATTTTTCCATTTTTTTATATTTACTTCTGGGGTTTGCATCACCGTTTCTTCCAAATAATCGATTAGTCAAAGAGACTGGTAAATGCCATTCATCTTCCAATTGATGCTTGAAATTGAAGTGGTTATGTAAGTATGTTGAATAATTTTTGGATTGGAAGTTAGTTGGGAAAACGAGTGTGAATGACTCTTATTTCGGTTGTTTCCAAGGATGACAAAACTAAAGGTGTCACTCGCCTCGTAGGTTGGTGGGGAACTTGGGATAAGATGGAATAGAGTATAGGGAGGCGTGTTTTTTTAGGGTAATGACTATTTATTAGCCAAATGTTTTTTTGGATTCTTTTCTATTATTCAAACCTATCGAAATACTATTTTTCTATTACCCAGGAAACTCAGCCACGCGTGCCACTTTGTGACAGCGGGCCCTACTAAATCTGGGGGCCACCTGCAATCAAATTTGACGCCAACTAGACCTCGCCCCCAGCAGCCTTGTACCTCCGGGAACAACAACGGGCCTCGCTTGGATTCGAACCTGGGATCTGCAACTCCCAAGCATTCACTGTCGCGTCAGCTTTACCGTTAGGCTATCTTACCTTTGGTAACCTATCGAAACTAGCCTATAGCCCGGCCCGTTGGCCGCATTTGTTTAAGGAAATGGAGTTACAATCTATCTATCTATCTATCTATCTTCTATCTATCTATCTATCTATCTATCTATACATAATATTATGGCAATTCAAAAGTAATTGTTTGCCACCTAAGCACTTGGAGAGCTCACAAATTGCCAAGGTGGACAATATTTTTACAAAAAAAAAATAGTTATTGATATATTTATGGAGCTATCTCTCTCTTCATTTAATATTTCATTTCCCTTTTATCATTTTTTTGTATTATATCAATGTACACAATAATAAATAATGTATGAAAAGTGACATGTATTACATTTGTTATCTCTAACTTTTTTAATATTTATTTTTCTTTTTCAATACTTCCTTTATGTTTTTGTTTTACTTTTGCATTGTAATACAATAGACTAATGTCTTTGAGTCACACATATAACTTTTTTCTCAACCAAAATATCTTATTAAAGCTCACTAAGTAAATTTTTAATTCACTTTTACAATAATTTACAAATATGTTACATTTTGATGAACAATTTATACAAACCCACATACATAATAACATTTTATCGCGACAAAATAACGATGGAAATTAAAGAGAGAACAAGAAACGTTTGAATAGAAACTTGACCAAGCAATAAAATCTATTTCTTAAACAAAACCTTATTCATTCTAATTAAGTGAAAAAATATGAATCATAGGTGCAATAATTTACAATGTATCCTAAGTTCAAATTACTAATATTTTGCATTTTTGCTCTAGATCGTGTTAATTTAACAAACTCTACTGAAGTTTTACGTCATATGTTAAGAAATTTAATTTTTAGACTTGGAGTAATAAATTTTCAAGGATTATAAATCAAAATTTTTAAAATGACTTCGGAATGATTGTTGATGAACTTGACTTCATATCTTAAGAGGAGACACGAGATACATTAAAAAATGATACATGTGAAAGTTAGATGAATCTTTGCTAAACTGTATGTTAAACATCATGTGTTCATCAACCACTGACCTATGAAGCAAGATTAGAGAAGTTAATCATTGTAAGAGGTATGATCTTTCATAGCAAACACATGCATTTTTTTTGCAATAAAACACATGCATAAATAATAATATATTTGCGAAATAAAATAATTCAATAAAAATTCAATGGAACAAGAATAGATCAGCTCATTGGATAAATGAAGATGATAAGTAAGAATAACTTTTCTCTCACTTATAATATGTCCTTCCATCCCTTATTTTCTTTTACAATTGTTCATATTTCCTTTATTTTCTTAACATTTTACAAATCCCGGTAAAAAACAAGCGTTAAT